GAATGGAAATACAAGTAACACAGTAAAATGTAATAAATGTACATAAAATTATACTATTTTATGTACACTTCTGATAAAATTTCATAAAAAAGGTACCTATAAATTAATTAGATACCTTTCTTATGAAATTTAATCTCACTCTTAACAGTCTTATTTTAATTTCTTTATATATTTTCCATAAAGCATCGTAAACGTAAAGGTGAAAGCTAAGTAAAAAAAAACAAAAAAGAAAAAAATTAGAGCACTGAAAGTTTTCCTTAAAAATAACAAGGTAAATAATTTGTTCACTTAAATGTAAATAATTTCACTTTTCTCCTTCCGTAGAACAAATTACCCTTACGGAATCCATCAATATGTCATTCATCACCTGTCGAGTGAGGCGAAAGTTTGACTTGCTTTATTTTCAAATTACATCTTTTCAGCGCAGAAGATAAGGTAAGCTTGGTTCAAAATATTTTAAATAAACATAATTTGATTTTCTTAAAATAAGTTTTGAAAAAAATGATAATTGATATTTAAAAGAATTTAAAAGTGAGATTTTCATTTTTTTTTTATAAGATGGAAAAAAAATGGTTGCCATCTGTCAATTTTGCCGACTTCAAAAAAGACAAAATTTTTAAGGAAAATTTCGGACATGCTAGGAACAATTAAGAAATGTAAAAAAATATCCCCAAAATACTTTCCTCTTAATAACAAACATTTAGACAATAAAATTTTGTTTTCATCAAGTTTGGTGTCTTTTTTATCATGCTATGCTCTTTTTTTAGTGATCTCGTGGAGGTACTTATGAATATAAAACTAATGTGTAAAATAATGACATATGAGATGTCCCTAAAAAATTTAAAAAAAAAAAAAAAAAAAATACTTGCATGCACATACCTTAAGAGATAATCAAACTTTGTTCAAGTATATAATCAAAGTGATTTCTTTTAATGTTCTGCAGTTTGCCGATAAGATTTTGGGTAGAACTAAAAAATTTGAAGCATGTGTTATAAAGAAATTAAGGAGCACAGGTGTATTGAGTATATTAAAATATACTGAGGTCACCAACTTCAGAAAGACGATGCAGTTACTGTGCCAGAGAGAGGACTAGACCAAGACATCGCCCTGGATAACTTAGTTGGATTACTGGCAAAACGCACTCTGATGTAAGTTTTGCTGTTTGTCAGTTGGTTTCAGTAATTAGCAATAAAGCTGCCCATCTGAATAAAATTAATAAAATACTAAGAGAAATTAAAAATTTATCAGGTGGTTGCTGCTTTGAAAGGCTTGTAATTTTCAACATAAATATAGTAAGATATACAGATGCAATCTATACTGATCTTCCAGAAGAACGTAGTCAAGAAAGACCAAATGTTTTTCTTGCAGACAAAGAAATGACATCTTCCTAACTGACATGGAAATCTATTAAATTCAAGAGTGAGGGCAAATAAACATTAACAGAAAAAAAACCCTATCATTTATTGAAGATTGGTACATATCTTATGGCAAAAATTACTGTGTAAATTATATACAATGGCAAACTATTTTACTTATCCATTACAAGGTAGATATTAAAAGTGATGCTGCAAAAAGCTATTAATGACATCTATATGTTGAAATCTGTTGTTTACAAAATGATTGAGAAAGAGATAGGAGGTCATATTGTCATGGATACACATTGATGAACAACAGGCAAATGTTCACAAAAGATGGGTCACCAAGTGTAACTTCTGAGAAGATATGTTAAGTCATTTTGAGAAGTTGCTTATTTAGATTTTAGACACATTAAAAGTTGATGTCATTAATCTATAGTCCAAATATTTTCAACAGGTAAATGAATGAAGTTGTCTCCGATTGTTATCTATAGCATACTATCTTTTGTTTATACTTAGTTAAAATGTATGAAATATTTCTTATACAACTACCAATAATGTAAAGATTCTATCAGGGTGCATAACTGCTGTTCAATGGGCAATACAGCACAAGGCCTAACTTTCAAGGTCACAACCAGTACATATTAAATGTACATCATTTTTCCCATACCCAAAATAAACAGAATGAATCAAATCAGAAAACCAAAAGAGAAAAATATTTTTCACAAGAGATAATCTTTTTCTTCAAGTTATTATTTACTAAGCTTAGCTTTGGCACAAGGACAAATGTATGGAGCACCAAGTAAGGATCAATGGTCAACTAGACTACCACACTAAATATTACTCTACATCAAAGAACCTATGTCTTTCTAAAACTTCTTTAAAATTAAGGTATTACTATTTTTCAGAGTGTATAAATCAAGTTTATAAATGGATAAATCACTACTTAAACATACAATTTGTTTTCTTTATTAAAATAAAATTTAAATGTTATCTTCAAGAATTGCAAAGATTAAAATTTTCACTGGTTCAATGAGTTATTTTAATTTTTATTGTTTCAATAATAATTTAGTTCTCTTCAATTACAATCACGTGATTACATATAATTACTTTATTCAATTATTAATATACATCAATGAGAGAGTCACATAAAGCTATTTCAAAATAGCCAAAGAAATAGTAAATAGGTACCAAATCCAAAGTTAAATCAATGAAAACTAGAAATAGCACAAAAACATTCCTCAGTTGTTTCTAAGATGAAATAATTTCACCTTCATAAAAATTTTGAAGTTCTTTCATTCACTTTCATCACAAGGTTTATTATTATGCAATTTAACATTGCTCCAAGTTCAGCATAATGGAAATAAAACTCACATCAGAGAGAGAGAGAGAGAGAGAGAGAACCTTAACAAAACAACTTTCAAGCATTACGATGAACATTATTATTCAGTGGCCAACAATAAATCATAGAAAGGAGAAGAAAAAGAATGACAATATTATAGATAAGAATGCTGTTTAACCAACTTTGATAGCCTAAATAAGGTTTTGTTTATGAAAAATTTTAATAGCATTATACAAAGTCATCTAAAAAAAAAAAAAAAAAAAAAAAAAAATTGCAAAAGTAAATGTCAAAACAATCTTAACAGTTTTCAATAAAAAAGGGTTGGGGAATATTACCTGTGTATTTTATAAATAAAGTAATCTGCATTGTGGTGTAATGGATATTGGCTTGGAATGAGAAATCAGAGAGTCAAGTTCAAATTCCAGTAAAATTTGTTACTTTCACTTACATGCAAATAAACTTGGGGAAGTTATTTATCTATCTAGTCTTCTTCCAGTTATGGGATGAATAGCAGGGCAGACTGGGTTGTATAGCCTTGGTTGTCTACTACAGAAAGAAATGGCCACCTACTGCAGCAAAATATTCTGCCTAGTTAGTCATGATTGAAAGACATGATCTCCCAAGTGTGTATCATGTATAGGACACTTAACTGACTGAATCTTTATTCCTTTTTGTAAGTAAATGTAAATTTTAATTCTTAAATATTAAAAAATTTCAGGTTAACAACTAAAATGGTAAAGAGTGAAATAACTTTGCTTTTATTCTACCAAATTTTTATAATAAATAAATGAAAACTTGTTTAACTTTCAAACTATAAAAATAAATGCATATATCTGGAATGTATATATGACAGATGATCTAAAATTTGAAAATACTTAAATTTAGTTCTCAGGAGATTGTTTAAACGAATCATGAAGATACAGACAAGTGGTTTCAATTATCAAATTTCTTTTTATTTTCCTTCACTTTCATGTTTGCATAAACTTGAACATTACAGATTAATAGAGAAACATTCTCTTGCAATAAATATAAAGAATTAGAAAAATAACATTTACTTAAGTAGAAAATGTCGAATTATTTCACCAGTCATTCTTTTAAAAATGTGAATTTACCAACCATTTTTCTCTGAGTTCTAATTTGATTAAATTTATTGTAATAAAAAAAATAAACACTATATACAGCATGCTTCGGTATATTGACTGTTAAAATTACAGGTTTTTAAATTGGGCATAGGTCCAAAATAAAAAAGAATTAAAAATTAAAAAAAATAAAAAAAAAAAAATTAAATTGAAAGTGTCAGTGAAACAAACACACACACACACATTTCCAGCTTAATAAGTGAAAAGTCAAGCAATATAATCTTTGATGCTCATAATGAAAATTATTAAAGTTTGCAAATAGCATTTACACCAGTTTTTATCGTTGCATGTGTCGTAGGGTAGTTTTAAGATATTTTAATAAATTATTTGCTCAAAGTTTTGGAAACATGATAGTAAAAGCTCAAATGCCTGTCTGATTCTAAAAAGCTTATATACCACTACTCCATATGATATTTCCACTAACTGAAGATATTCAGCAGTGAGATTTTCTGTCAGTAAAATAATTTATATAAGCAAGACTTCAATCTTCAAGTATAATACATTAACAGATTAATTTAATAAATTATGAAACTTTCCTGAAATTAAAATATGATAACCATGTTTTAATAGCAGTATTTTTCTTCTCACAATGAATCACAGATTTTGATGTATATTATAAGAATTTAATAGTAACAAGATTAGGTTTGGAAATTTGATGGAGAGAATCCAGAGTAGTTAAGCAATATTAAATAAAAAGAAAAAAAAAATGCTTGCTTGAAAACATTCAAATGTCTACAAGAAGAATGTAAAAAAGGATTAAATATTATGTTATCTGAAACAAATGAATTAAAACTATACAATATTGAAAAAGAAAAAAGAAAAAAGTGATTACAAACTAAGTTAGTAATGAATAAAATCTGTGCTTGAACTTCAATCCCAAGAAATTACAATGAACAATAAATAAAAACTAAAACAATTTCATTGTTAAATGTGAATTACTATTACACTGTTACTTCATATTTAATTCCAAAACCTAAATTATGGATAATCGATGCAATAAAAACAAATTCAAAGTAATGCTTTCAATAACATAACTATATGGTAAGTAACAATATTTTAAACAATTTCTAAGCTTATTTTTTTTTTTTTTTACGGAAATGATATTAAGCCATAAAGAACAAAATTCGACATGAAAAAGATGGGGAAAGATTAAAGAAGACTTGCCTTAGGAGGTTTGAATGGATAATCCGGGGTAAAATGTATATCCAAAAAGAATACTCCACCTTCATATACTGATCCAGGAGGACCAAGAATTGTAGATACCCATTCATACAAATTATCGCCTTTTGGTCCAGCACTGAAAACAAACAATTTTTTTTTTTTTTTTAAGACATCCTTCAGAACATACATACCAATATTCAAAATCCACATATATAAAACAATGTTTATGTGAAACATTTTTCTACATCTAATGAAATAACATTCTATTCACTATTGAATAAATAATGACTATTTGTTTAATGTTCAGAAATGTTCTTTTACAAAGACTGATCTAATTATTCAAATTATCAAACTTGCATTTTTTTGAAAAGCATTAAACACCAATAAAAAAAAAAGTAAAATTACATTTATTCAAATTTGTAAACAGTTGACTCAGATGGAATTTAATGTCATCATAGGCAGTGATTATTATAAAGTGACTGATGAAAACTGGTTTATTTTATTTTTTTTTTTTTGTCTATTTCAGAAAATAAAAAAAATTAGACTGTCCATCTAGATTTTAGTAAATCAATTCTAATCAGTTAAGAATTGCCTTCATTGTCCAAAAATTATCAAAGATTAGCCTCAAATCATAATAATGTCTGTATTGCATAAGTAATTATTAGCATCACCAACATTCTTAAATTCAAAACTTATCAGTAAGCTTAAATAAATCAAAGTATATTCAACTTTAAAACTGTTAAACAAAATATGGCTTATATTTCTGCAGCATAAAAAATGCAATAGAACTTAAATTACAAAAACCAGAGAAAAAAAAAAAAAAAAAACATACATAACAGAAAATCAAATTACATAGGACTTATTTAACTTGATAGCACATGATATTCACTTTTGTATATATTATTCATTCTAATTTAAAACAATAGCAATTTAGACAATAAAAATAGAAAAAGATTCTCCCCAAAACTAGGTTATCTCCACTAATTCAAATTTATAACAGCTAAGGTTTAAAGTGATTTTTATAAATAAAGCTTTCTTGAAGCTTTCATTGAAAGCTAAAAAGGACTAAATTTACTATTTCCAGTAAGCAAAATACTCTAGTGTATGTCAAACAGAAATTACATAGATTGGAATCAATTTCTTTTCTTTCTTTTTAAAATAGCTGATTAGTATATTTTTTTTTAAGTAATCTGTGTTTGCAATGTAATTTTCTGTATTAAAAATCTTTCAAAAATAAAATACAGTTTTCTGAAATTTTATTTGAGGAATATTAGCTGATTTCAAGTATAATTAATCTGATTCGAAACATGATTTACTTAAGTTTAAAATAACACAAATGTATTTTTAAAACAAAACAGCAGCTGAGCATTCTATGTCAAATCAACAAGGAATGAACCATTACCAACATGGATTTTTTTTTTCTTTTTCAAATCATACACTTACAGAGCTTCCTGATGCAAATTGGAGGGTACCTATTTTTACATCTCTAGGTCAAAAGGTTCCCGAAATACAAGCCTTTGACCCTTGCCAAAAAGATGAATTTTGGAAAATAGTCACAAAGTTTAAATATCAATATCTCAGTTGTTTTTACCTACAAAGCTAAATTATATACCAACAAAGTACTTGGATAGATCTAAAAGGTGATCCATTTATTTATTTTTTGTTTAAAGCTCAAATAAGATAATTTAACATTAACCTTTAATCTCTCAAAATACACATGTTTAATTTTTTTAAATTTGACTGCTTTATGGTAAAATATGTACAAAATTTTGTGATGGACTTTTAACTGCAGCATGAGCTACAAGGTTTTAACAGTGTTGGGCCAAATTCAAAATGGCAGTAATTTGCTATTTGCCACCATAGGCTACCATTTTTATATCTCCCAATATGGTCAAGTTGTATATCTTTAGAAAGCTCTTTGAATGATTATTAACATTCACATAGGAATTATGATCATAAAAAGATCAACAGAATTTGTTGCTAATGTTGACCAATTTGGTGAAAAATAAACAACCTTATTTTTGGTTTTGTTTACATTTTTATTATACAGCAAATATATTTTTATATGAAAAAGTGACATAATGAAAATAATTATTTAAAAAAGTGTCATGAATTAATGTTAAGATAAAATAATATGAAAATATGCAACAAATGATGTTAATGGTTAACTATCTGAAAAAGTAAGCATTGAAATGAATAATTAAAAAAAGAAAAGAAAAAAGGATTCTCAACATTTACAAAGGTATTAACAAGCAGACCCATTGTTGAATAAAGTTAACATCATTACCTGAGTTTTCTGAAAGTATTTTAACATTAGCTGAATATATTGCCCAATTTTATAATTTTAACTATTTTTCTTTTCATCCCAAGTTGACACTGTTTTTACTTCAACCTCTTCCTGAGACACAGGAATAAAACTATGTAGTCTTTGAGTTCTTGTAATTGTTGAGGCATTTTTTTTCATTTATTTTCTAAGATTTCTGCTTCATTTGTCCATTCATTTGTTGAGAAATACAAAATATTTATGCCTGAAATGTTTTTTTCTTACATAATCAACTTCTTGGTGTCATTATTTGTTCATTATAGATGCTGCTAATTTCTTAATAGTGCCACCTGACAAATCTCATAGTCCTTTCCCATGAGATGTAGCAAAAAAAAAAAAAAAAAAAAAAACTCTGCATCAATACCAAAGTCAGACTTATGGTTGCACAAATTGATAAAATTTGTATGTGAAGTGACATCAAAGAAATAGATCAGATTTTTTTTTTTTTTTTTTTTCAGTACTTCTATAATTTTTCTTTGGAACAAATAGACAGCTACTGTGTTATGCTTGAAACAATCTGATATAATTACAATATTAATATGCTCCAGCACTTTGTCATTTCTGTAAGAATAGACAAATGGATGTAATGTGACTCAAGAATTATTCCAATGGAAGTCTTGTGCAGTATCCTGCAAAATAAATGAATAATTCTCATCAAAATCTGCAATAAATGACTTCAGCATCCAAAGAACTTTTCTTATGAGAACAAAATTTTGATTGTTCTTTGGCAATGAAAGCATGCTTTTTCAATGTTTGAAGAACTGCAAGTTTCAATAAATCCTTTTGTATATTGATACAGTTTGTAGTGTAGTTCTATCAGTTGATAGACACTGTTTGCAGATAAAAATCATTTATTAAATTTTTATTTAGAATTTCTTCTATATATTGCTACAAGTTGAGCAGTCACCCAAGTAGCAGTTAGAGGTTGCTTCATTGCATGTAACAGCAGCTATGCATTAATGGTAATCTGTTAAATGATATTGTTCATCTTGAGTCAGTGTACCAAGATGAGCTCCCACAAACATTCATATTTTAACAGTGTTACAGCAGGTTCCAGTGCTTTTTTTTTTATTTCAATAATTGGTATGCCTCTTTCAGGTTACAGAGTACAAGAGATTTTTGTTCCTGAACTCTTCTACCATTCTTTAAGACTGTGTTATAGTCATTTTTTCCAGGCATCACTCTGCTGAATTCTTCACTCTTACAAAACAGCACAACTTTGTCAATTGTCTCTTGCAGGAAGCTACATTTTCATGTATTTGGCAATATTCCTTGTTCAGTTTTTTTGGATTGTCTTACCATGTATGATTTGGTGACAAATTCCATTTTAATTCTTTGGATACTCCAGATTTTTGGAAATATTGTCAAAATTTGTACTTTTTGGGACCTCTTTTCACAAGCTGCAAACTTTTCTTTTAATTGTGTTATAATTTAACTTTCATCAGTTTTTTTTGTTTTTTTTTGCTCTTCTCTGCTGGTAGATTGAAAAATTTTATTTGAAATCAGTTTTTCTTTAATACTGCTCCTTTAATTTTTCCTGATTTTTTCCCCTCGTAACTGGTGTTTTTCAAGTTTGATTGGTGATTCACCAATCACTGACAGTGACTCATTAAGAAGTTGCAATTCATTTTCATTATCTATAAAAAAAAAATGGTAGAAGGCTGTATCTAGTCTTCAGCTGATGTTGAAGCACTTTCAGAAAACTCGAGTAATGCTGTTAATTTTATTTGACAATGGGTTTGCATGTTAATATCTTTGTAAATGTTAATCTGTTTTTAAATATTCATTTCAATATATCACATTTCAGATAAAAACTTAATTTTTTAAATATAGATAAAAAAAATATTGAAAATTTGATTGTATTGTGCATTTAGTTTACTGTATCAAATGTCAAAAATTGGTTAACCATTAACATCATTTGTTGCATAGTTTTATATTATTTTATCTTAACATTAATTCATGACACTTTTTTAAATAATTATTTTCATTGTCACTTTTTCATATAAAAATCTATTTGTTGTATAATAAAAATGTAAACAAAACCAAAAATAAGTTTGTTTATTCTCCACTTAATTGTTCAACATGTAACCACAAATAACACAAATTCTGTTGATTTTATGATCATAGGAACTATGTGAATATTAATAATTATTCAAAGAGCTTTCTAAAGATATGCAACTTGACCATATTGGGAGATATGAATATGTGAGCATATAGTAGCAAATAGCAAATTACTGCCATTTTGAATTTGACCCAACTCTGTAAAACCTTGTAACTCAGGCAAAGTCCATCACAAAATTTTGTACATATCTTGCCATAAAGCAAGAAAATTTATTGTCAAATTAAAAAAAAAAAAAAAAAAAAAAAAAAAAAATTGAAGGTACGTTTTTTTTGAGAAATTAAAAAGGTCAAAGTTGATGTTTTAAACAAAAAAAATAAATTGATGATTTTTTAGATTTATACAAGTACTTTAAAATGGTATATAACTTAGCTTTGTCTGTAAAAAAAAAAAAAAAAAAAGTAAATAAATAAATAACCAAGATACTTAAACTTTGTGATTATTTTTCAGAATTCACCTTTTTGGCAAGGGTCAAAAGGTCATATCTCAGGAACCATTTGACTTAGAGATGTAAAATAGGTACCATTCAATTTGTATCATGAAGCTCTATAATTGTACCACATTTGAAAAAAAATCCATGTCAGTGATGGTCAGACTTTTGTTGATTTAACACGGAATGACTCAGCTGTGTTTTTAACCAATATCACCTTGTTTTACGTAATTGATGTGGTGATTTCAAGTGATAACATTGATT